CAATTCCCCCCCCCACACACACACACAAATAACCCCCCCCCCCGACACACACAATCAAACAAATAAACACACACACACACACAAACAATCCCCCCCACACACACACAAACAATCCCCCCCCACACACAAACAACCCCCCCCCACACACACACACAAACAAACACACACACACACTCACCCGGGGCCCAAGAGGGTAATTACCCGCCGAGAATAACAAGAAAAATGTTTAAGCAACCGGTCCGCTGACATCCTGTTTCAAAGCTGGTGGAGTGTGTTGCGTGTAGACCGTGGCCTTGTTGACGTACATGGCGCTGATGTACGTAAAATAGGTGTACATGGAGTGGTGTACGTGGGGCTGGTGTATATGGATTGGTGTACGTGGGGCTGGTGTATATGGAGTGGTGTATGTGGGGCTGGTGTACATGGATTGGTGGACGTGGGGCTGGTGTACATGGATTGGTGTACGTGGGGCTGATGTACATGATGTGCATGGGGCTGACGTACATGGAATTGGTGTACGTGGGGCTGATGTACATGAAATGGGTGTACATGGACCTGATGTACGTGAAATAGGTGTACATGAAGCTGATGTACGTGAAATAGGTGTACATGGACCTGATGTACGTGAAACAGGTGTACATGCACCTGATGTACGTGAAATAGGTGTACATGAAGCTAATGTACGTGAAACAGGTGTACACGGGCCTGATGTAAGTGAAATAGATGTACGTGAAACAGGTGCACACGGGCCTGATGTAAGTGAAATAGGTGTACATGAAGCTGATGTACGTGAAATAGCTGTACATGAGGCTGATGTACGTGAAATGGGTGAACACGGACCTGATGTACGTGAAAACGGGTGTACACGGACCTGATGTACGTGAAATAGCTGTACACGAGGCTGATGTACGTGGGACTGACGGACACGAGGATAACGGACGCACGCAGGGAAGGCATTTAAGATACGCAGGATGATCTCTGACATTTTTTTCTTTGTTCATCTACACATACATTAATTTTGTCTTTTTCATTGATTTATTTTCATTTTTTTATTTTTATTATTTTTTCTTTAATTTTTATTTTCATATCTATTTTTTCATTATTATTTTTCCATTTTTATGTTTTATTTTTTTTTCATTTATTTTTTTTATTTTTTCATTTATTCTTTTTCATTTTTTTCATTTTCTTATTCTAATTTTTTTCTTTATTATTATTTTTTATTCTACCTTACACCTCATGCAAGTGCAAGAGTGAGTGCATCTTGAGCAAGTTGCAAGGGGGAAGGACGGCAACGACTTATAGGCCTGTTTCCCCGGGAATGGCTGACGAGAGAACAAAATGCAAAGAAAATAACGAAAAAGGAAATACAAAGAACAGAATGTAAAGAAAATATCATGAGCGAAATGTAAAGGAAAGAACAAAAAAGGGGAAAATAAAGAACGCAATGTAAAGAAACAAACAAAGAAAGAAAAGATAATGAACAAAATGCAAAGGAAAGAAAAAAAAAGGAAATACAAAGAACAAAATGTAAAGAAAATATCATGAGCGAAATGTAAAGGAAAGAACAAAAAAGGAGAAAATAAAGAACACAATGTAAAGAAAAGAACAAAGAAAGAAAAGACAAAGAACATAACAAAGAAAAGAACAAAGAAAGAAAAGATAAAGAACAAATAAGAAAAGAGAAATCCTCCAAATATCAATTTCTTTAAGACTTTTCAATCTGTTTCACTGACATGAAAATTATTATTGACGAGTTATAACAACTGCGTGAGTATTGCAATGTTATTCATTGGGATAATAACAACAAAAATTATTACATTATAAATAATAACAATAATGAAAAAAATCAACATGATAATAGCATTTATAATGAAAGAAAATTGCAAGTTGCATGATCAGTAGGAAGGAGATCAAAGGAAAATGAGAATGGCTGCAACAGGTCAGTTACAAGATGTTGAGCTTAGTTCCTTTTTCCGCGGAACGACTAAAGAAAATTCAAAATGCAGCACAAAGAAAATAAATAAAAAGTAAAAAAAAAGTAAAAAAGGAAAATATATAAAGAGTAAAAAAAAGGAAAACAAATGAAAAGTAAAAAAAAAAGATTAAAAAAAAGTAAAAAAGGAAAATATATAGAGTAAAAAAAGGAAAACAAATGAAAAGTAAAAAAAAAAAGAAAAGAAAGAAATTTAATGGCATCTAAATTAAGTTAAAACACACCTCTCGCAAAAAAAAAAAAAAAAAAAAAAAATAGTTTTTCATAACTTTTTGAGTTATCCTGCTTACCAACCATAGGATGATAATTATGTTAATAATGAGGATAGTTATAGTGAAGATGAAAGAAAATTATGGCTATTATTGTTTATTTGATAATGATCATAACAGTGGAAGTAATGAGAATAATTATTGTTGTAATAATGATAATGATCATAAAAATAGTGATGATGATAATAAAGATAGTAATGATAAGAACAATGATATCAGTGACAGTAATAACAATCAT